TCAGATGCTTGGCTGAGCTATTAAAATTCTATGCACGCACTGAGGAATTCAGTGTGTAAGACTAATCAAATATTCTATTATGATTAGATAACGGTTGTAACTTACGGTTATTTTTAAAAGACGTAAGCACTACGCAGGGGAATGTGCGAAGGAACAAGTTCTGACTGCATTAAAACTGCGGGTTCGAATCCTGTCACCGAACATAATCACACTCTCAACCACGAGGGCGTTATAATGTGACGGTTAATACTACTACACATTGGTAAAGAGTAGCTCTAGAGTTGGCGGTGGGTGGTGTTGACTAACTGCCTTCTCTCTAGTCTATCACTTCAGAATTAGGGATGGTTAGTGCAGATAGCCCTCGAGCAGCTTTGCGTAAACTTCAACAAATAAACAATGCATTAAAATAAATAACCAGTTAATTTTACTTGCCTAAAGATGGCGGGGGAAGAAACCTCCAGCTGGAAGAAGAACTTCGGGGTAAACAAGTGAGTTTTTTCTAAAATCAAAGTTGGTGTCCTCAAAGGTCACACACGTCATTCCTACTGTCTCAACTTTTTTTTTATTACCATAACAATACGACATAAATCACTAAAATCCGGGGTTCGATTCCCTGCGGCAGGAAAAGCGCAAATGGACCATAGTTTAGCTTTGCGCTAAACACCCTACAGCAAAAAAAAACAACGTCTATGAACAGGAAGATTCTAAAAATCTAACAACAACAATACGACATCTACGAACAGAAAGATTCTAAAAATCTAACAACAACAATACTAAATCTATGAACAGGAAGATTCTAAAAATCTAACAACAACAATACTAAATCTATGAACAGGAAGATTCTAAAAATCTAACAACAACAATGCAACATCTATAGACAGAAAAGTACTAAAATCCCAACAACAACAATACAACATCTATAGACAGAAAAATAGTAAAAAACCCAACAACAACAATACAATATCTATGGACAGAAAAGTGCTAAAATCCCAACAACAATATAAATATAAAAAAAAAACACCATATCACGCTGATGTGGCCGCTGTTTCCTTAAATTCACTGACAGGAACTTTGATCTTTAGAAATGCGTGCTGCATTATATACTTAGTAAAATAAAACCAGTTATAACTGGAGTTATCGACATGATATTTTTATAATGGATTGCATATGAAAGTAAATCTGTGGAGACTAGAAATATCTCACTCCTGCTACTACTTTTAAAGTGCAGAATAAATAAGAAGCCATCGAGAGAAAAGTGGATTATAAAACAGATATTGTTACTTATTTATTTATTTTAGAAATGACGTGTGTCGAACCTAGATTGTCAATCTGTTTACTGAGTGGTTCTCTCAAGTAGGTGTTAGTTGTTATTTTTGACAGCACACTTTCGAAAGTAAAATAGCTTTTATTTATTAAAATACTAGGGTTAGCTATCGCATGGCATGAACTTGGATTTTTAACGTTATAAGCTCTCAAACTTATCGCTGAGTGAGTGACGGCATATCTCTGAACTCACATTTATAAATCGCATTTGCTTCAGTCTCTCGAAACATTAGGCTGAGCGTGGCCTAGTGGTAAGCGTGGTTGGACTGTGCATCCAATAATTCATGGTTCACGACTCATTTCCACACAAAAAAATACGCTCTACACTTTGAAGCTGTGGACGCATTATAGAAGTGACAGTCATATATCACTCAGACAAGAGTAGGCCAAAAGTTGGCGGTGATAAAATATTTTGAGCTGTATGTAACTAATGGATAACTCCGTTTTTTCTATAATCACATAATAATAAATCATTTTTTTATATTTAAAGACCGTTTACTTTTATTATATATTCTCGAATATTTTTGTTAGAGTTTTATAGGTCGCTATGACTTCCTGAGAACAAGATAGTTTGAAAAATCGTCAAATATAATGTGCAGTCGTTCAGATGATCACCAAATATTGCTTGGTTTTGGGAATTCCAAGAAACGTTTAAATTTTTGACTGTAGCCAAGACCTGATTCGTTTTGAGATTCATCTTGATACGATGCCGGTTTCTGTGTGGAGTTGGCCCCTAATATGTGTGGTTATTTTGTGAGTTATCCTAACTACAAGGTTTGTTTGTTTTTTGAATTTCGCGCAAAGCTACACGAGGGCTATCTGCGCTAGCCGTCCCTAATTTAGCAGTGTTAGACTAGAGGGAAGGCAGCTAGTCATCACCACCCACCGCCAACTCTGGGGCTACTCTTTTACCAACGAATAGTGGGATTGACCGTCACATTATAACGCCCCCACGGCTGAAAGGGCGAGCATGTTTGGTGTGAGAGGGATTCGAACCCGCGACCCTCAGATTGCGAGTCGAGTGCCTTAACCACCTGGCCAAACTACAAGGCTACGTTCTGTAACCAGGAATTGATTAGTTTCAACAATCTTCTTAACCAAAAATGGTTTCTGTAGTGATCTCCAACATATTGTGGTTTCTAACATTCGTTACCCGTATTGGACACAGCATAGATAGTCCATTGTGTATTTTTGTACTTAACAACAAACAAAGCAAATATTTTAAAGATATGATTCTACTGTAGCAGATACTGGCTCGAAGACATGTTCGAGATATTAGAAACCTCGTGCTGGAGATTTTTTCATGAATCAGTAAAGTTTTTCAAAATAAGGTTTTGGTCAAGACAATGTTAAGGTATGAAGCTATCCGTAAAATATAGTTATTCTCAGATCTAACTAGCTGGCTATGTATCCCCAAAATACAGTTACCATTAAATATAGTTATTCTCAGATCTAACTAGCTGGCTATGTATCCCCAAAATACACTTACCATTAAATATAGTTATTCTCAGATCTAACTAGCTGGCTATGTATCCCCAAAAT